CATAAAATTTCACTTACCACATAAACAGTGTAAGGAGAGATGGCTGAGGACAATGGCGAATGATTTGCAGATCCTGAGCACCACTGACATACATCTAATCTTGTAAAATGTGTGGTAAGTACTGCTGCTCCATAGTATAAACAGAGTATGTGCGATCGCGAATCTCGAAAGTGAAAGTGAAACTAAAAAGCGATCGTGCATTCAAAAGCAGTTTCAATGCCAGGTATAATAGCAGCTCCCTGATGCCGAAATATATGTAGTATAATTACCCAATGATATACTGCGAGAGAAAATATTGAAATATATATTTTCCTCCCATCTCATATTTATTCCCTTTAGGGGTTCCGTATACACGTCATTTTCTTTCTGAACACGGTATTGGGATGCGGCTGATTGTGAGGGGTATGGGGGGGGGTCTATCAGCTATCGGCGATGGACGATGGCATCGTCTGTCAGCCCAACCCTACCCTACATTCTCACTCTTAAATCAAAAACCCAATCCTATGTGGAGTGCAGTAGAGTTCTTTGTTTTTGTTGACAATCATGTGGAGTGTAGTGTACACTGCGTGACCTCGGCCTGGGATTAGAGACTGTGGCTGAAAGCCAGACTGGTTACATTAGGACTACAGCAGGTATTGGCAGAGTCACGGTAAACGGCTCAACAGCGTCTGCTTAACACTTGAGTGTCTGCTGGCCTAGTACTGCCTGTCTGTTTCCACCATGATGGATCATTGTGAGCTGTAAAGCGGAACAGTCAATGAACTGGATGGATTTTTTTTTCTTCTATTTTTAGTCAGATCTCGGAATAGAGTTGACCGACCTGACCCATAGTGGATGCTTTAGGGGTTTACAGAAGCATGGTTTAATTCCCTCCAGATCCCTGTTTTATTAGCCGCCTTGAATGAACTCTGAAGGAGAGTCTGTTTCTGAAGGCACTGGGAGAGCCAGTTGGATTAAAACACTCTGGGGCAACAAATACACCCTTCCTTTAGTACTCCTGAAACATTCAGTCACCACAAACAGACGGGCAGACGGCCCTTACGGTGGTTGCAAGGAACGGTAGATTACAGAAAGAGAGGGAGAGCAAAAGTAGGCTGGCCGGGTTTGTGAGTGGTTGATTTATTGGTTCCCTTGTGTCACCTCCCATACCCTCATGTCCGCAGTAAGAACTCCACACAGAAACTCCCCCCTACACCCGCCCGTTTGTAAAGCTACATTGGTGAAACACCAGTTGTAACAATACACAGGCACACAGGCCTGAGGCAGCCGGCACAGACAGGGACCATGAACCATGGCTATGACTTTCCCAGGGTAAGTGCCACATTACTCTCTCTTCCGTCCTCTACAGGAGCACACAGCAAAAAGAGCTCTGATTTTTTTTGGTGACTGGTGACTGACTGTATATATGTTTATTTACGTAAAGTCTATATATTGAGAGACAGAAAAAAACATACTTCTGGAAAAAAAATGGAACTATACTTCTGAATTTAAATATATCAATATAATAATAGAATTGTTTTTAAAAATTGTTAAAATAAGAGAAACATATAGATTTTTCCCTATGTATACTATATATAAATATAGTATCAAGTTAAATTATAAATGTTGAAAAAAAGAACAGAGATAATTTGATTTTTTTTCTCATATATAGATAGATTTACATGTATATTTTTTCTCATGTGTATATATACATATATTCCACATTTTTGTTTATATCTTGAATTGACCTTAAAAAGGTCCTTCTCTGTGATCAAGTCAACTGATTTGGTAGAAATCACACATCAAAATAATTTAAATTAGACTCTGTGGATTTATTGATATGTAGCGCTCACCTCTGCCACTATCAATGTGTCAGTGCACTTAAAGAGTCTAGGAAATGTTTGAAGTTCTCAGTTCTTCCTCTGAGTAGGAAGTTTTGAGACATCATGTGCTGGTTTTCCAGGGACTGATAGACTTTAGAAATTATTACTCAAATATGAAGGTGACGTCATAAGTCTGACTCTGTCAAGCAGGGATATTTACATCTGCCACAGTCATACGTTTTCAGTTAAAGTCAGTTATGTCTTTTGACACTTACATTGGACTTTCCTGCTACATAATACTGGCTGGGGCAGTTAAAGTCTGGTTCAACATAATCCACAGCCTTCTGCATTATTACAGCACATTGCCAGAGTGTTAAAAAAAGAATATGGTACGATTTAATAATTTACAGTGACGGTGTAATCAGCGAAATTAGCTGGAAGGTCTATCACCAGCTAATCACGGTCCATAGCTTTCTTTTCATCCATAGCTTTTCTTTCAACTGAAGAATTAAACTCTGCTATTCTCTGATCATAACTGTCCAGTTATTTCAAGCACTTTAAGTTCAATGCTTTGCCTCTGGGTCACAATACCGCCTCACAATGGCATTTTATTATCACTCCAATTTCCTTGAAACATCAGCTGTGTGTTTTGTCAACTTCACCGGCATGTCCTGCAGTTTTGTGTCCAAACATGCCTAACTCAGGACTTAGATGCTGTCTGGCAAATCACAAGTTAGATAACAGATAAACTGATGGTGTTAAAGCAATGCTACAGGGGGAGCTGAGCATTTTCTGGGATTGGAAATTAGATTGTTGACTGTTTTGAGTAAAGCAAAGTGTGTAGTGGGTCACTGCTTATCAAACTGAAATCTGAAGTCATATGAAGTTAAGTATATGGAGCAGTTTTGGAAAATCTCCCCAAATGAAAAGATCTCAACAGAACATTTTATATAATACTTCTATTCAGCAAGGATGCGTTAAATTGATCAATGTTTCTTGAGCAGCAAATCAGCATATTAGAATGATTTCTGAAGGATCATGTGACACTGATGACTGGAGTAATAATTGGTGAAAATTCAGCTTTGCCTTCACAGGAATAATTCACATTTTAAAATATATTAAAATACAAAACAGACTTCTTTGGAAAAAACAATCTTATGACCCCAAACTTAGTAGTGTATTTAAAAAATATTAGATCTATTTTATCATTTAAAACTAAAAAATATTTCAAAAACATCCCCTGAGCTGTGAAAGAGCAGCTAAAAAGTTTCTTCTGTGTCTTTTAGTGTCTATATTTCACAGTAGGAATTGTGATGGCAGCTGTGTTTTGTAAGGGTGAGGGATCCGCTGTTTCGCTTGGAAAAAGTATCAAATTCACGAGTGCTATTGAACTGTCCAGAATCCTTTCCTAAAGATTGGTAGATTGACTGTCATTAGATGCATTAAAGGAAATCTCCTGTTTTCATATACCACACAGACAGAGGTTCTGCCCTCTCTATCTGTCTGTGGTGCGCGTAGACAGTAAATATATTAGAGGCTTGGATTATTTGATTGCTTATAAGTTATAACCACACACAAACACACACACAAGCATAATCAGATAAATGTCACTTGTTAAGGTCACAGGTTAGAGGGTTACTTTTTAAGTATTTTCTTTGGTCATATCTTGCCAGCTCAAAAGATTTTTAAAGCACCTGATCTCAGCTAATAATTGTGCTAAATAAGATGATGTAGTGATTCAGTGACAGCAAGCATTTTGTTTGTTTGTGCCAGATGCAAATGTGTACTACTTGTGGTTACATATCAAACCAAGTGATTTTGTTTGCACAGTCATATTGCAGTTCACAGTAAAGCTGGGTCTGCAGATGCTTTGTAGCCGAGCTGCTGGTGATCTGTGTCTGGAGATGAGACATCTGTGTATGAAAGAAACATAAATCAGCTCTAAAAAAGGAGTGCAGTCAGAACCAGAGCTCTGCTTCTACCTGCACATTATTGTGTAAAGCTAATAGTCTACCACAAGTACTCCAACTACCTCCCTTCCTTTTCAGAAATGAATTTAAATAAATTTAGTCCATGTGCTAGCTTTGAGATGGACTTATGTTAATGTACTCCCAACTTCATTTATAAATGTCAATTCTTTTCTTTTTCTTTCATGTCAGTTTCTGTCTTGAAACATCGCAGTCAATAAATATTTGCTTGGTTATATCAAACACTCTTTAATTTGTTGTAGATCATTAGACATGACGTTTTGGAGCCTTTGAAGTCAGTTTCCTTACAAGGTGGATTTATACATAAAACACTGACTGGGCAAAGAACTAAATGCTTTTGGCGAAATACGACAACACAGCAAAGAAAACTGCATTTGTTTCAGTGCTAACTCGAGTTTACTGCAGAAAATAACAGTCACAGTCACAATCCCCCATGTCACTTGTACTTCCATAGTGCCTTTCGCCTTGTGATCTTCGGGCTCAAGCTATACTCAAGCTATAATTTAACAGTCAGGTTCATCTGCATTCTCCACAAAACAAGATCACACACATACAGCACACACACGGAAAACAGCAGTACACAGTCTTCATCAGCCTGCAAGCATATATGCCATGAATATTTAAAGTTTTGCATTATTAAAATGACTGAAATTGAATTGAAATCCCCTGATGAGATCCGTTCCCCACATCTGTTATGTAATTGTAAAATATTTCAATACAGCAGTGAGCGGATGCTATTTATAGTGTCCTTTTGGGCTATATTAAGACTCTACATGTTTGAAGCTGTGCTGTTCCTTAGAGTATTTTAGTGTATTTAATGTTCAGTAGTGATGTTTCAAAGTTATATCTTCATAGTTTGATTAAATTTGAATTACTTGAAATCAAGCCTTAAGTTCTGAAATGTAAAATATAAGGAGATATTGGTGCTGTTTGCTTTTTTAAGATATAAATTTTGTTTGATATACATTTATTTGGCTCACCCAAAAAAGAAAATTCTGTCATCATTTCATTTCAAACCCATAACAAGACATTGGTTAATCTTTGAAAAACACAAATTAACGTATTTTGAATGAAACCTGAGGGGCTTCAATCCAGAATTTTTATTTTTGGGTGAACTATTCCTTTAACTACATGCAAATGTGCTGCTCACATGTTCATGTCTCTGTCTCTCCCCCATCCTCTCTTTTTCCATACCTCCATCTTACTCTAGCAGATTCAGTTTGCCAACCAAGAGGAAAAACAGGAGTTCAGCAAGTTCCCTACAAAGACCGGCCGTCGCTCCCTGTCCCGCTCCATCTCTCAGTCCTCCACAGACAGCTACAGCTCAGGTCAGACCCTCATCCACCCTCACAGCAAGCCAAGCACAGACACGTCAATAAAGTTCTGTAGTTCAGAAGAACAAAAACACAAATGGTGTGAAGCATTAAATGCATGCAAATCAGCAATCTTCATCTGAACAGATTTAGCAGTACATTACTTGTTCACCAATGGATCCTCTGCAGTGAATGGGTGCCGTCAGAATGAGAATCTAAACAGCTGATAAAAACATCACTATAATCCACAGGTAATCCACATGACTCCTGTCCATCAGTTAAAGGGGTGGTTCATTGCGATTTCACTTTTTTAACGTTAGTTAGTGTGTAATGTTGCTGTTTGAGCATAAACAATATCTGCAAAGTTACGAAGCTGAAAGTTCAATGCAAACGGAAATATCATCTTTTAAAATTCTGGCAGTTTTATGCCTACAAAAACGGCTCGTAGGGACTACAAGTGAACCACACCTTTAATATCTTGTGAGGTGAAAAGCTACGTGTTTGTAAGAAATGAGTCCATCATTAAGAATTTAACTTTAAAGGAACACTCCACTATTTTTTAAAATAGGCTCATTTTCCAACTCCACTAGAGTTAAACAGTTGAGTTTTACCGTTTTCGAATCCATTCAGCCGATCTCCGGGTCTGGCGGTAGCACTTTTAACTGTAGCTTAGCATAGAGACGGAAAATGAAAAGTTGCGATTTTCTAGGCCGATATGGCTAGGAACTATACTCTCATTCCGGCGTAATAATCAAGGAACTTTGCTGCCGTACCATGGGTGCAGCAGGGGCAATGATGTGAAGCCTGGGAAGACCGCAGCGCCTGAAAATAGGCTAACGTCCGCCAGCATAACCAACCTGACCACCTGCTTGCACAGGGAGCGTGCCTTCCATTGGAAGTTACCTAGCTGGGGACTATTTTCAGGCACTGCGTAATATCATTGCGCCTGCTGCACCCATGGTACGGCAGCAAAGTTCCTTGATTATTACACCGGAATGAGAGTATAGTTCCTAGCCATATCGGCCTAGAAACTTTTCATTTTCCGTCGGTCTTGGTACACGATGTAACTACAGAAGAGTCAAGTTTTAAATAGGAAAAATATCGAAACTCTTTGGTCATTTTTGAGCGAGATGCTAACGGTCTAATCAGATTCAATGATCTATGCTAAGCTGCAGCTAAAAGTGCTACCGCCAGACCCGGAAATCGGCTTAATGGATTCGAAAACGGTAAAACTCAACTGTTTAACTCTAGGGGAGTTGGAAAATAAGCCTATTGTCAAAAATAGTGGAGTGTTCCTTTAAATTGTAAATATGAATGAAAATGTCGACTCTGAATCAGGAGAGAAATATGCAATCAGGCATCGTTTACAGGTGAAAACAAGCATTATTATGGATTATAGACTCTATTTTGCCCAGAAGTAACAAGTAAAAGCTCTTTTAAAAACAAACATGCAACCTTTCACTTCACAAGACATTAATTGATGGTCTGAAGTTGTGTGGAGTCATTTTAGATTATTGTGATGTTTTTATCAGCTGTTTGAACTCTTGTTCTGATGGCACCCATTCACTGCAGAGGATCCATGGATGAGCAAGTGATTTAATGCACAATTTCCAAATCTGTTCCCATGAAGAAATAAACCCATCTACATCTTGGATGGCCTGAGGGTGAGTACATTTTCATTTTTGGATTAACTATTCCTGTAAGTTCATTGCAAAACTGAAGAAAATCATTGTGGCCCAAAACTGCTTATTTCTTGTTCATGCTAGTTTTGTGTGTTTTGTAATATAATCCTAGGTTAGCTTAAAGCGAGAACTACAGACTTTTGGTAGCATTGGCACTGGATCAGACAAATTCACATTCCTAAATCACTCGTAATACCAACAAAAGTGAGGGATAAACATTCCTACATGTTTGTGACAGCAGACCAACTCTCCCCCCCAAACAGCAGACTGCTGAGACAGAATTGCAAAATAATTTCATAAGATCAGAAGTTTTTTTTTTTCTATTGCAAACATGAATAAATGCATGCATTGTTGTTAACTCCACTAAAATGTGCATCCGTGCTCTTGTAGCGGCCTCATACACTGACAGTTCGGATGATGAGACGTCTCCTCGTGAGAAAAGCCAGGTCAACTCAAAGGGCAGCAGCGACTTCTGCGTCAAGAACATCAAGCAGGCCGAGTTTGGACGGCGGGAGATCGAGATCGCTGAGCAAGGTTAGGAGACTCACCTTTTATGCTTAGTACTCTGTAACTGGTTATCTTCACACCTCAGCTTAGTGGGAACTTTCTTGTTGCTGTTTGATAGGTCAAGATGGTTTGCGTACATAACAATTACAGCACTGATTCTCAACTGGTTTGTCATGTTTTGTCAAGTTTTGATAATTAATATTATTGGTTTAGTAAAGAATTTGTTGACTCAGGACATCTGTTGAACACAAATGTACAATAAGTGCTGTCAAATAAACAAGGGTTGGTAACAGCTGCTGCTGTCAAGAACAGTCATTGTTCTCCATTTAATTTAATTGAATGGTTTCATCTTTTTAACTGGGTTAAGATCTCAATGCCAACTACACAATACATATGAAAGTGACGTGACAAGTGGCCAAGTATAATACACCATACTAAGTATGGTGACCCATATTAGTAAACACGCCCGGAGCAGTGGGCAGCCATTTTTTGCTGCGGCGCCCGGGGAGCAGTTGGGGGTTCAGTGCCTTGCTCAAGGGCACCTCAGTCGTGGTATTGAAGGTGGAGAGAGCACTGTACATCCCCTCCCCCCACCTACAACCCCTGCCGGTACGAGACTCGAACCCGCAACCTTTGGGTTACGAGTCCGATTCTCTAACCATTAGGCCACGACTTCCCCCTCGTATATATATCCCCCTCCCCAGGGGATATACTTAATATATATATATACTTAGTATATATATATTCCCCCTCCCCATATATACTTAAAGGAATAATGCACTCAAAAAGGAAAAGCATATAATTTAGTTATTTCAAGTCCATATGACTTTCTTCTGCAGAACACAAAACCAGAAATTTTAAAGAGCTTTTGAATGTCAGTAAAAAGAATGGGAAATAAGTCTCCTGAAGCAATAGTTTTGTTTTAAAAAAGTCAGAAATGTCTTGAGTTCAACTCACTGACTCAATGATCCAGAAATAAGCAGTGAATAAGAACAAAGCTTCTTGGAATATTGTGCGTGATTCATATAGACCATTTTAGTGATGCTTTTATGATGCTTTTGTGTCCTTTTTGGAAGCTTGAAAACTTCAGTCTACATTAAATACAAAGTTCTGTCTTGAAACTTCAAATGGTGCAGGCGATAGGTTCTAACTCAGTCTGATATAATCACATCATTATTTACATAGCGCAGCTGATTGGTTTCTTTTCACATCAGCAGCCAATGGGCTTGCTGCTGAACATTCAAATACTTGGCTAGTGCTTGCTATAGCAGTTGCAGCATGCTTCAGAAACCCTCCACCTTCCCCAGCTCCACCTGTATAGATCGGCTATGGGGTAATTTCATATATGTTATGTGTGCAGCAGCAGTATTTCCTACATGCTCACAGCAGCATGTTGTGGATGTATTGGCAGTAGCAAGTCTCGGTACTTGCTCTGCCGCAGCAGTGTAGCAGATCTATTCCTCCAAGACCATTTAGCGTATTACTACGCTAAACTGTCCGAGAGTTGTCATCATGACAGAACTGTATTTGCATTGAGTCTTCGGAATCATACAGATTTCAAACAACATAAGTGTTAGCAAATGCTAACAGAAGTTTAATTTGTGGCTGAACTATTCCTTTAAATGTTTCCCCATTTTTCATGCGACAAGATTTTTGTCTGTTTTCCAGGACTTGGTTTGATCTCTGTTTCAGACTCTAGACTCTGCCTTCCATAATAAAAGAAGTTGTCTCATCTCCAAACTGTTGTCTCTGTCACATCCACAGATATGTCTGCGCTTATTTCCCTGCGGAAGCGAGCTCAGGGGGAGAAACCCCTTGCTGGGGCTAAAGTGGTTGGATGCACTCACATCACTGCACAGACAGCAGTAGGTTCTCCTCAGGGCTTCACTAATTCAAACACACACTTCTTCTACAACTAGTCTTTAACTCTAACACAAAATATTTACACATTTCTATGGATTGTTTGGATGAACAATAAAGTTAGCTTACTTAAATACTGAAATTACCGTCGGCTCCGATAGCCTTGTAGTTAGTGCGCTGACATACAGCGGAACTGCGCTAACCACGACCCGAGTTCGATTCCCATCTCGAGGTCCTTTGCCGATCCCACCCCCTTTCTCTCCACCCAATGCTTTCCTATCAGCTCTCTACTGTCATGTCCCAATAAAGGCAGAAAACGCCCACTAATATAACTTTAAAAAAAATACTGAAATTACCAGCTGACCAGACCGGTATATTGACCAGGGCTGCGTTTCCCAAAAGCATCATAAGCTTAAGTACATAGAAGACCCATTGAAACCAATGGAGCTACAATCAACTTAGGCTTACGATGCTTTTGGGAAACGCAGCCCAGGGAAATATAAAAACTACTATTTTGAATAAGTGAATTTTGAGTGAATATTATTTAAAATCAGTGTTTATTTAGATTTAGTGTACATCTTAACTGCTTTTAATAAATTGTGTTCTATATTGTCTATTAATTGGATACCCTACTCCCTATAGGTATGTATTGTTAGGAGTTCAGTGTTGTCACTGTTAACTAAAACTATTCTAAATAGTTTTATTAATTTAAAAAAGCTGAAATAAAAAAATATAGATAAATATTAGATTAAAACTTAAACTTAAAAAAATCTTAAAGGAAGATGTTAAAGCACTAAAGTTACTACAACGAAAACTGAAATTAAATAATGTTAAATAGAAATATATTTAAAAAAAAATACAAAAGAGCATAACAAAATAAAAATTACTAAAACAAACACTAAACATAAAAATTTTAATGAAAACTGTAAATATTAAAATAAAAGAGAGTTCAAAATATGAATAAATGCTATAAATTATATGAATAATACTAAAATACCCTGTACCAGCTTTGTCGCTAAAAGACCCAGCTAATTAAAAAAATTGAACATCAAATACCTTAGTTACTTTTAGTACAACAGATTTTTTTATTTTCATCAAAGTGCTCAAAATGTGTATTTGCTTACTAGTGATCATATCTTAGTATGAATAAATGTAAATACACACTTTGTTACTCTTAGTTTGCTTTCCCAACTTTTTGATATGCTGTGCTGGTTTCTTTCAGGTCCTGATCGAGACACTTGTGGCACTGGGTGCTCAGTGTCGCTGGACTGCCTGTAACATTTACTCCACTCAGAATGAAGTGGCCGCAGCTTTGGCAGAGAGCGGTAAACAGCCCTCTAAACAACTTACTGTTGTCTGAACTGTACCAATTCCAACCTGGCCTGATATTCTGGACTCACTTTTCATTTATTTTGTGCCCTTTAAAGGTGTTTCGGTTTTTGCCTGGAAAGGTGAATCAGAAGATGACTTCTGGTGGTGCATTGATCGCTGTGTCAACATGGAAGGCTGGCAGGCAAATATGGTATATAATGTTCTGCAGTTAATATCCAGTGATATTAAAAGAGATGAATCAGTGGGCAGTGTCTGTTTACACTGAGTGCAAATAATCAACCTTGTTGGCAAAGATTAATTTCACTAACTGTACCCAACATTTACCCATTGCACAAACTGTATATTACGTCTGTTTACACTTTGTGAATAGCATAATTCTATTGCTGTTTTGTACTTAGTGTAAGCAAGATGCTGAACTGTTGCTGTTTACCGTTTGTGAAAACATATCTACCACTATTTACAATATTTAGCACACTGTTTCTGTTAAACTTCATTTGCCGCTGCCAAATTAGTATTTATTTAATCTTCAAAACAATTATCAGGATCTTTGTATGTTTGCAGACTAGTAATCATCATACATTTTCTCACAGATCCTAGATGATGGGGGCGATCTGACCCACTGGGTGTATAAGAAGTATCCAAGTGTCTTTAAGAAAGTACGTGGGATCGTGGAGGAGAGCGTTACAGGTGTACACAGGTAAGGGAGAACTGTAGGACTTTAAATTGAATTGAGTTTAGTTTAGTTTAGTTTTGTTTTTTAATGTGTATCTTGAATGCAGTGTTTGCAAATTGCTTTGGAAAAAACATCTGCCAAGTGCATAAATTTTATTTATATATTTTGTTATCCACACCAATAACCTAACACAATGACACAAATCTGTTATTTATGTTATGTATATTCTATTATTAATCTGTATATGATTAAAATAATTAGATTAATCACAACTGTTTATTTTAATTCATTGACAACCCTATTGATCAACATATTTATTTATGTTTGAACCAAATGTGTCTGTTTTTATTCATTCTGTTAGGCTGTACCAACTCTCCAAAGCTGGTAAGCTTTGCGTCCCCGCTATGAATGTCAATGATTCTGTCACTAAGCAGAAGTTTGATAATCTGTACTGCTGCAGGGAGTCCATCTTGGATGGGTAAGACACCTGCAATGCTGATATGCTTTTTAAAATATATATATATATATATATATATATATTAGTTTATCTTCCTCTGACCTCTTACCAAGCATGAATAAAGCTTATCTAAGGAGGAGTATAATCACGGTTGACTTCCTCTTTCTTAGTCTGAAGAGAACGACAGATGTGATGTTTGGTGGGAAGCAGGTGGTGGTTTGTGGTTATGGAGAGGTCAGTCAACATCTGCGTTTTTGCAAAATGCCCCAAAGATAATCTGCATAATGCAAAAAATACTCTCTAAATTGCCAGACCTTATTTACTACAAGCACAGATATTTTAAGAACATTTCTGTGTTTTATTTTCATTCTTGTATTGATTCCGGTGTAGGTGGGAAAAGGTTGTTGTTCAGCTCTGAAAGCGCTTGGAGCCATTGTGTGTGTGACAGAGATTGACCCTATTTGTGCTCTTCAAGCTTGGTAAGATAAACACACCCACAAAAATTAGCTAAGTTTAAATCAAACACCATGTGCAGTATATTAGTATTATTTATATAATATCAGAGTATTTATTAATATTTTGAATTGGCTTTAATTTTAAATTTTATATATAAAATTTTTAGTTTAGGTTTTAGCAATTTTGTTGTGATTTTGTCATTTTTTTTATTAGCTTTATAAAATGTATTTTTATTTCATTTAATTGCAAGGGCGTGAGCTGTTCTCATTTGAGACCACCTGATTGGATAAATATCTTTGTAGTGGAAGATGAGTCATCAATATTGTGGACTATTTTCCTTGAAGAGAAACTGCACCTTTTAATAAATGTGTAAATTTTATATTACAAGTCTGTTTTGTAATCTTTTCTAATTGATTTCATATAGAGTAAATAACAAAAATATAAATAAAAAGACTAAAAAAACAAACAAACAAACTTTAATGCACAATGAAAAAAATTTATTAAATAATAAATAAATAAATATCAAGTTGTAAAGTTTCCTTAGTACTAACAGAGCAGTTTTGTAGCAAACAATTTGTGTAAACTAGTCTCTCAGAGACTTCCACAAATAATATAAGCTCCCCATATTAGCCAAACACATGGCCGTGGGAAGTCTGTGAACAAGCTGAAGTGCTTATTTATTTGTTTTTATCTCCCTCATAGTATGGACGGCTTCAAAGTGGTGAAGCTAAATGAGGTGGTTCGCCAAATGGACATGGTTATCACCTGCACGGGTACGTCTGGTTACAGTTGGCTCGCTTCCACTTCCACAAATCCATTCCTCTGTTGGTCTCTTATCAGCACAACACATCCTCCCAGATGCCCTTACATTGAGTTGCTGTGAAACGGTTCGCCCTTTGACAGCTGTAGTAGTCTGTAGTCTGGGGAAAATAATAATTGCTCAGCAACAGACAAAGTATTTGTTTAAAATCACAGTAAAGAGATATTGAGGTTTAGATCAGTTATGCATGGTCTCTGCTAGACAAAGGCACAGTTTTGTAATAAATGTAAGTTTTATTTAAGTCTCATTTTTATTAGTATGCACAAATAATGTGTATTGAGGTTTCCTTGAAGATTCCTAAAGAAATGTCTGTTTCTACAGGGAACAAAAATGTTGTGACCAGGGAGCACTTGGATCGAATGAAGATCGGCTGTATTGTCTGTAACATGGGCCATTCCAACACTGAGATTGATGTGGTGAGTGGGTCTCAATCTTTAACTGTTGAAAATATTTTTGTGTTATTTATGAGGAGGCTCCATTTGCTTCCGCTGTAGTGTACTTTATTGGTGAATGTAGTCCAGGGAAAGAGTTTTTTACGTCAACAGCTGTAGATGTTTCATTAACAGCATGGACACTTGATCAACCTGAAAGCCTCTTAGCGGCATTTTCCCGACAACAAAGTGAAGTGCTCTGATGGTGTTCATAATGAATGCATTTGTGTGTGTGTTTTAGCTTTGCAGGTTTATCAGTCTGTACTGGACAGAAGTGAAAGCGAGTGTTAGTTTGTGTGCGCTCATGTGTGTCTGTTGTTTCTGTTCCAGGCGAGTCTGAGGACTCCAGAGCTCACCTGGGAAAGGGTGCGCTCACAGGTCGACCACGTCATCTGGCCTGACGGGAAACGAGTGATTTTACTGGCAGAGGTCTTTCCTTCTTCTCTTTTTTTTCATGAATGAGTGCCAGTGATATGACGGATGGACTCTACTTTTTATGCAACAGTAGACATATTTGTCACATTTGTATGGCAGTTGGAGTTTAAGAATGTTATTCAGACACAAAGAATCAAAACAGTGCAGGATGTGTCCTGAACAAGTCAAGACGAGCGAGTTGTTAGGCACAATACAATGCAGAATTTAGTTGTTTCACTGTTATAGAAGCAATGCCACAAATTGATGCATTAATATACATGTGTGATCATAAATGTGTGCATAATATATGTATCAGTTTTTGTTTTTATCATGTATCTTAAAAATACACAGTCAAATAAAATATAGTTATATTTTATATAATAACATTCACAAGTTTGGTGTCAGTAGGATTTTTTTTAAGAAATCGGTATTTGTATTCAGCAATGATGCATTACATTGATCAAAAGTGACTCTAAAGAAGTTTCTAATGTTACAATATTTTTTTTACAAAAATATTAAGCAGCACTACTGTTTTCAACAGTGTTAGTTAATAAGAACTGTTTTTTGAGCGCCGAATCAGCATTGAATGATAAAAATAATTTTTGAAGGATCATGACAATGAATCCTGGAGTAATGGCTGATGAAAATTCAGCTTTGCCATCACAGGTATTTTAAATTACATTCACATTAAAAAAAGAAATAATATTTCACAATATTACAGTTTTTACAGTCATTTTGATCAAATAAATGCAGTTTTGCTGAGCACTAGAGACCTCCTTTTTGAAAAACATAAAAAAAATCCCACTGTCCCTAAACTTTTGAACAAGAGTATATATTTTTATAAAATATAATATTAGTCTATTAGTTTTCCTTTTTTTTAACGCAGCTTATGCACTTGATGCTATGTATAGTCATATGTTTTGGTTTGCATGAAAATAATCAAATAAAAATAAGAATTTAATTCTTAATGCAAAAATGGCATTGCCATGTGATTATTTAATATCTAAAACATTTTCTTCTGTCAATCAAACCCATACTTTTTTTGTGAAAAAAAGTTTCATGAAAAGCCTTAGTTTTCCCTAACAGATGTTTGTCCTTTGTGTGCTCTCCTGGTGGATCACAGTAAATCTCAGTCATTTGTGTGCTGTTTTCAGGGCCGGCTCTTGAACCTGAGCTGCTCAACAGTCCCCTCATTTGTGCTATCAATCACAGCCACAACCCAGGTAATTTAACCTGTCACGATTTGGGTTTTAGCTGAAGTGCGACTGTACCCTCTGTACAGATGACATTTTATCCAGTTATGTTAGTGGTTCTGAGTGCTGCTGCACAGCTGTATGATTATTATGCCTGATTTAACATCTCTAATCGCAGGCTGTTGTGCTCTTTATTTTAATGTTAGGCTTTGGCCCTGATAGAGCTGTATAATGCACCAGAAGGTCGCTACAAACAGGATGTCTACCTGCTTCCCAAGAAGATGGGTAAGAACCAATCACTACTGCAACTCAAATAAAGCAGTTATGTGCATTAACTGTGATAAATCATGTGCATGTGTGTGTTTCAGATGAATATGTGGCCAGCTTGCACCTACCCAATTTCGATGCTCATCTTACAGAGCTGTCAGATGAACAGGCCAAATATATGGGCCTGAATAAGAACGGACCCTTTAAACCAAATTACTACAGGTATGAGAGGGGCTTTAAAACACCCCATATTGATTATGACTGATAGTTTATGTACAATGTACACATTTGAACTGTTATGTAGTGTGATGAAAGTCTAGTGTTCCTATTTTAGGACAACTTCTCATCAAAATGTTTGGTCACTTACTACCCTCTGCTGGTTGTCAATGAAAGACTCACAAAACCAGTGAAATTGCTAATTGTTTTCAACATATTTAAAAAATAAAATTCAATAATGATAATAAACAAAAGTTTGGGCACAGTAAGATTTTAAGAAAAGTCTATTATAAGTCTATTAAAAATACAGTAAAAGCTGTAATATTGTGAAATAGTATTAGGCTACAGTTTAAATAAACAGTTTTTTGTTTTAATACATTTTAAAATGTAATTTATTCCTGTGAGACAAAGCTGAAATTTCAGAAGCCATTACTCCAGTCTTTAGTGTCACATGTTCCTTCAGAAATCATTCTAATATGCTGGTGTGGTGTTCAATACATATTTATTATTATCAATGTTGAAAACAGTTGTGCCATTTAATTTCTGTGGCAACTGTGATACATTTTTCAGGATTCTTTGATTAATAGAAAGTTCAAAATTGAAATCTTTGGTAACATTATTATGTCTTTACTGTCATTTTGATCAATTTAATGGATCAGTACCGAATAAAAAAATCTTAATGACACCAAATTTTTGAATGGTAGTGTAACTTATAACAATCAATGAAAAACAAACAATTTCATATTATGAACATTCTTCATACCAGACTGAACAGTTATGACAAAAATAACATTTTTCTGTTGTTCTACTTACAGGTACTAGTGTGACTGGATGGATTCAGCCTTCATCAAAGATGGAGAGACCTGCATTAACCAGTGAAGCAAGAGATTTATTTTCTATTAATATACATTTCTTAAAACGAAACTTGATTTTACTGAATGTTATTCTTATTTAATAGTGTTACTAATGTCCAGTGACAAAATATACGTTCATGTCACTTTTAGGCTTATGTGCATTGTTAGAATTCATGTATTATAGCATTTGTTGTAAATCATCTTTTAACCAAAAATATGAAAAGGACCACTGTCTACGGCTCTAAAAATGTGCCAAATATTGGTTATAGTTACTGATCAAATGAGATAATTGATAATTATTACGGTTTTGTTTTTACATGGATATTCTATTCACCCAAGTTATGCTACACTCAATCATTCATGACCAAAAAAAATGTCTTTGTGGCTTTTTAATATAAAAATGTTAGCTTCAGCATAATTCCTGATTTATCGCTCTTGCATAAGAAAATATAAAAGCTTTTTTTTGAATGAATGTACTGTGTATATTACTGCTAAAAGCTAGAGTGTTCTGGCAATATGATACACACCACTGTGTGCAGAAACTTCCGTGACCCGGCAGCACATGCTGCTAAATATACCCCGCTTGGGGGATTTTATGAATTGTGTCACCAATAGGGATTCTTTTCCCTTTCACGTTCTCACACACGTCCATCATCTCTGTGGCCTTTTACAAATTCTTCTATTAAAATAACATCGACCATTATATGTTATTTAGGCCAATCTTAGATGAAAATAAATGTAACTACAGTTGAAATTTGAGATATTCTGTGAGACTTTTGCAAAATATTATTGACCCCCAACATACACACATAGCCAGCTAGACTCACAAAAAGCACACATATCTTGATGACCATCTCTAAGGGACTGCAAATGTCTTAAGCAAATATCACTGTGAATGCTGTCATTTGAATATTTGCCTCATCTGCACTTTGTGATTTACCTTTGCATACATAATTTGTCAGATGTGTGATGTGTGATGTCATCGAATCCCTGCATTAAAGATCTTGCTGTCACAGTATGCATCTTGACTCATATTTATGCTATTAATATCACAAACGTTTTACTATCATTGTGTAGGAAGCTTATTATATTTTATGTTAACACCAATATTGCTTTTTACGATAAGAGATTAGTCGCGTGTAAAAGGAATCTGGGCGGGAAAATGTAAGAAATTAATGTTTTATATAAGACAAAAAGTGAGCATCTGGTGGCCCAAAAAAGACAATTCGTTCTTGATCCCATTTAATTGGCCTATTTTGAACTGTAGGCTAGAAAGTACAATCATTTAAATATATAAATATTAATCCAAAACGACTATGATTGGTCCATCATGGCCACCTGCTGAGAAATGTAACAGAAATCAAACGACAAACAAGGCTTTAACAGTAACAGAACGCTTTAAAAAACAATATACTTACGAATAATAACACAGTAATGAGCAGTTTTAAAAGCAGTTCAAATAAAAATACAGAATTAAAAAAAAAAAAGTAAATTATTATTTCAAACATCGTCTAGCCCCGCCCAACTGTTGCATAGTAATCGCGGTTCTACCAGCTTATTCTGTTTCTATATTTGGAGCGCGTTTCTTTGCAGTGTGTACGAAATCATCAGTGCGCGCCTGGAAACTTCAGGACTAAGACAGCCTCTAAAGTTACCACCAGAGTCAAGAGAAGTCGAGTCTTTCTAGAAGCAGCATGGGAGGTATAAAACTCTCAGTGTCGCTCAGGCCGAGGCAGTCGAGACAAGACAACTCAAGCAACCTGAAGCAAAGCAGAGCTGAAGAGTCCGCTCTCTGAAGCGCTAAAAGAAACTCACAAGACCTGTAAGCGACTCTTTGAGATAACTTTGAAATATTTTTTAAATATATTATTATATATTTTATACATGTTATTTTATATCCAAATTTAAAATTAAAATATAGCTATACATTTTAAGTAGACTGTTGTTTATAATACTTAGAGATGGCATTCAGTAATATTTTATATTTAATATATTTATTAATAAATATATTGAATTAATAATTTAAATAATTGTGTTAATAATAATAATTGTTATTATTAAATAACTCAAGATTGATTTTTTCCCCTTTGTATTGCAGGTGATATTTAACTATTGATAATCAAGATGTCTAAAGGTGTGTCCATTGGCATTGATCTGGGTACCACTTACTCCTGTGTGGGGGTGTTCCAGCATGGCAAAGTGGAAATCATTGCTAATGATCAAGGGAACAGAACCACTCCAAGCTACGTTGCCTTCACAGACACAGAAAGACTCATCGGAGACGCTGCCAAGAACCAGGTCGCCATGAACCCCAACAACACAATATTTGATGCCAAACGACTGATTGGAAGGAAGTTTAATGATCCAGTGGTCCAGTCTGACATGAAGCTTTGGCCCTTCAAGGTCATCTCCGAAGACGGCAAACCAAAAGTTCAAGTTGAGTACAAAGGAAAGACCAAGACATTCTACCCTGAGGAGATCTCATCCATGGTCCTAGTCAAAATGAGAGAGATCGCCGAGGCCTACCTGGGTCAGAGGGTCAATAACGCCGTCATAACGGTCCCAGCGTACTTTAACGATTCTCAGAGGCAAGCGACCAAAGACGCGGGGTGATCGCCGGATTGAACGTGCTGCAAATTATCAATGAGCCCACAGCGGCTGCCATCGCCTATGGGCTGGACAAGGGCAGGAGAGGAGAGAGGTGGAGGCAAATCTTCGACTTAGGTGGAGGCACCTTTGATGTCTCCATCCTGACGATTGGAGGACTTCGACAACCGGATGGTGAAGCACTTTGTTGAAGAGTTTAAGAGGAAGCACAAGAAGGACATCAGTCAGAATAAGAGAGCAGTGTGAAGGCTTCGCACGGCCTGCGAAAGAGCTAAAAGGACCCTTTCATCTAGCACTCAGGCCAGCATCGAGATCGATTCCCTGTTTGAAGGCATTGATTTCTATACTTCCATCACAAGGGCTCGCTTTGAAGAGCTTAACGCTGAGCTCTTCAGAGGCACGCTGGAACCAGTCGAGAAGGCTTTGAGAGATGCTAAAATGGACAAGTCCCAGATCAACGATATTGTTCTGGTTGGCGGCTCCACCAGGATCCCCAAGATCCAGAAGCTTTTGCAAGATTTCTTCAGTGGCAGGGATCTCAACAAGAGCATCAACCCAGATGAGGCGGTGTCATATGGAGCAGCGGTGCAGGCTGCCATCCTGATGGGCGACACCTCGGAAAACGTTCAGGACTTGTTGCTTCTGGACGTGGCTCCTTTGTCCTTGGGTATCGAGACCGTAGGAGGAGTCATGACTGCTCTCATCAAACGCAACACCACCATCCCCAACAAGCAGATGCAGATCTTCTCCACATATTCTGATAACCAGCCAGGCGTCCTGATCCAGGTGTTTGAAGGTGAGAGGGCCATGACCAAAGATAACAATTTGCTCGGCAAGTTTGAGCTCACTGGTATCCCACCAGCGCCACGAGGCGTACCCCAAATTGAGGTGACCTTTGACATCGATGCCAATGGCATACTGAACGTATCGGCCGTGGACAAGAGCACAGGGAAAGAGAACAAAATCACCATCACCAACGACAAAGGTCGACTGAGCAAAGAGGAAATCGAGCGGATGCTGCAGGATGCGGAAAAGTACAAAGCTGAGGATGAGGTGCAGAGAGAGAAGACTGCAGCGAAAAACGCCTTGGAGTCTTACACCTTCAACATGAAGAATAGCGTTGAGGATGAAAAGCTGAATGGAAAGATTAGTGAAGAAGAAAAGAAGAAGGTCATTGATAAGTGTAAGGAGGTTATTACTTGGTTGGAGAACAATCAGCTGGCTGAAAAGGAAGAGTATGAGCACCATCAGAAGGAACTGGAAAGTGTGTGTAATCCAATCATCACTCGGCTCTATCAAGGAGGAGATCCTCCCGCAGGTGGCTGTGGATTCCAAGCCCAGCCTGAATCACAGGGCCCCACCATTGAAGAGGTGGATTAAAGAGGAGAAAACTTGCCTTACTATAGTGCAATATTACCTTAAGTGTTAAATAAGATATGGTGGCCTTACTTACTATGATACTTCCAGATTTATAAGAGCTAAGTTGTTTTATATCTTGTTTGTCAAATGTGCATGAATTTAAATGTTGTAAGACAGCTGTCTTTCAGCTGTGTCAGCTGAGAAATGAATTAATGGAGTGGAATAAATTAATATGCAATGTTTTATTATATGTATTTATTATTTACAAGAATAAAAAAATAAATGCCCATTCCATTTTAAATAATGAAAACCAACGAATCCAGTGATTTCTTTCTCTATTGAAGTAAGGGAGGTAGAAAATGCATGAAGTTAAACCTGCTCTACTTTACTTGCACACTAGATGACGTTGTAAGACAAACTAAAACTAACTTGGAATTTACCTCAAATTCAAAACATCAGATTCTTTATATTTATGTCTTTGATTGTTAAAAAACAATTCAATTTATTAAAAAAAAACAATTCTAGAAAATGTAAAATCCTTAAATGTTCTAGAATTTTGGACTAGTTTTCCTGCACTTGATTGGACTCTTGATTTGACGCATTTTTACTCAATGGACCCTTTAACATTTCTGAGTTTGGAAACTATCAGGGTGAACTCCTCCTAATAAACTATAATAATATTTTTTATTTCATTATTTGCTCAGTGGGCAAAAAAAAAAAAAAAAACACTTTCCAAAGGAGGATAAAAAATAGAACGACAGAAATACAGAACGATTGATTAAGGCTGTCAGATTATAGAAATATATCAAGATAGCAGCAGCAGCAGGATAGTAATATACAAAATATAGCCTATTGTTACAAATACATACAAATTAAATTCAAATATAAATAAACTGTTAGATTTACGATGCTAATGCGGAAATGCGTCATCGTAGACCGTGAAAAGGTGTCCATAATCTGATAAATTGAAGCTTTCCCATGTACTAATCAAATTGAGCTCACGTTCATACGTGATGCAGCGCTGTAAGGGTTACTGAGGCGCTGGAGCATCATCATCATCCTTTCATGGGCTGCGTCGTCTTCTGACTGTCACAAGATGCAACAGATCTTTTCCAACAAACTGATGATACCGTCTCATCCTTCGCCAACAGAAGATTTGGCCTGATACAGATGTGCAATCAAAGTTAACATCGCAGACTTTATTCGGCAAGGTTGCGCTTTTATTTTAAACACCCGTTGTGATTAAGGAATAATGCGCGCGCAGGTGACAGGGTGTGATTTACTAATTCAACGACAAGGTGACGAGAGTTTTGAAAGAGATGAAACGGAGAGTCATTTTTAGGGTAGTCTGACTTTTATTCTAACTAATCTGTTTTTCTTTGTAAATATAGTGAGAAATGCCTAAGCGCGCGTAAATGCCAATTCGGTCGTGTTACGCGGACGTTTTGTTCGTGTTTTGGTGTTTACTATCGTGTCAAAGTGCCCATGAATGAGGAACAACGCAAGCATCCACCCATAGACTGAGAATCTAGAAGAGTTTCTGCGTTAACAGGTGGTTCTTCGCGCCTCTGATGGTCATGTTGACGGCGGAAACTCTACAGTTGTTCGACTTTCGTAACTGACGACAGCTGCGCAGGTTTAGAAAGCCAAGAAAGTTACTAGGTAAAAGCCTCTCTATCTAAATCTATGATCAGCTCGGTGTGTGTTTCGTCGTACCGCGGGCGTAAGTCAGGCAACAAACCTCCTTCCAAATCATGTCTGAAGGAAGAGATGGCCAGAGGCGAAAACTCGAAGAGATTATGATCGTTAGAAGACAGAGTCGCGACTCAGATGGGCATGTTGACGGCGGAAACTCTCTACAGTTGTTCGACTTTCGTAACTGACGACAGCTGCGCAGGTTTAGAAAGCCAAGAAAGTTACTAGGTATAAGCCTCTCTATCTAAATCTATGATCAGCTCGGTGTGTGTTTCGTCGTACCGCGGGCGCAAGTCAGGCAACAAACCTCCTTCCAAATCATGTCTGAAGGAAGAGATGGCCAGAGGCGAAAACTCGGACAAAATCATCATCAACGTCGGCGGCACGCGCCACGAAACCTACAGGAGCACCCTTAGGACCATACCGGGCACGAGACTCGCCTGGCTCGCCGACACGGACCACCAGGTGAACCCGGATTCAGACACGGGACAGACGCCCAGCGCCAGCGAATTATTTTTTGACCGACACCCGGGCATATTCGGCTATGTGCTGAACTACTACAGGACCGGCAAGCTGCACTGCCCGGCGGATGTGTGCGGCCCTCTGTTCGAGGAGGAGTTAGCGTTTTGGGGCATCGATGAGACTGACGTGGAGCCCTGTTGCTGGATGACCTACCGCCAGCACAGGGACGCAGAAGAGGCGCTGGAGATTTTCGAACCGCCAGATCCGGAGGATGCGGAGGATGACCAGGACATGCCCAGACGCTTCGGCATTGAGGACAGCCCTGGCCGGTCCAGGGGATGCTGCGAAGTTTGGCAACCAAAAATATGGGCGCTCTTTGAAGATCCATATTCTTCGCGTGCAGCCCGGGTAAGAGATTAGAATGTATATTACACATATGTTTTCCTTTTCAACAAATAGTCGAGGAGGAGATTCATAACCTTTATCAGAGGTCAAACTAAAAATCACGTGAGCTTTTATTTCTGTTCATTGTAACAATATAGACTATACAACATATGTGGTTAGGTTCACTATTTGTTCTGTAAAAAAGAAAAAAAGAAAGAAACCTATGTATTGGTGCTTTAAAGAACTCAGAAACCAGAACAATTATTTGAAGAACCTATAATGAAACGTTCATATCTGTTTTAATCTCCAAAACGGTTCTTTATACAAAGAAAGGTTAAGATGTCAAAACGAACCTTTATTTCAAGGAAGGGCCCAAATTATGTTATTTCTTGGGTGTCACAATTTCAAGGATTATTATTATTAGTAGTAATAGTATTATTTGTAATGAGAGAAAAATTAAAATCATAACAGAAAATGTGAAATACAGCTAAATAACACATTTGGTAATTAAAAGCAGTCAATCATTAAAAATAGTTTTAAATGACAATGAACTGAATATCAATTTAACACATTATGTAAAAAATTGTTGGATACCTTTGCAAAGGTCAAGACCTCTGAGGCTGGACAGGCATTTCATTTGTTTAAAACTACAGTTTTAAAAATACAATTTCTTTATTGGTGTCTTTGGTTCCATGAACTGTTAACATTCATAGAACCTTTCCATTACACAAAATGTTCTTTACAATGGAAACACATTATTTAGAATGTTCTAAAGTACTTACTAAGAAAGTTCTAAAGAAAAGTTCTTTAAAATGTTCTTCACAAAAGAAAAAAAATTGTTATTTTAAGAACTGTTCACCTAAAGGTTTTTTGGGGAAACCAAAATGGTTCTTTCTATATGGCATTGCTGCGAAAACCCCCTTTTGGAACCTTTATTTAAGAGTATACCTACTTGACCGACTAGTTTTGTTTAAGATAATAGTTTTATTTAACATATCTATTAGTTCCCCCAACCTACACTCTTATAAAAAAAACTGGGGCAGTACCCTTTCAAAAGGTACACATTTGTACTTTTTTTACCGCTATAAGGTGCATATAAGTACCTTAAATGGATACTCCACCCCAAAATGAAAATGTTGTCATTAATCACTTACCCCCATGTCATTCCAAACCTGTGCTCAAGAAACGTGATATCATGATAAACACTGAAAACACTTGTGCTGCTCAATAACTTTGTGGTATATACATGATATTTTTTCCAGTATGTTTTGATCAAGAAAGTTCAAAAGAATATCATTTATTTGAAATATCAATCTTTTATTCAACAATTCGTCTCCTCCGTGTCTCTCCGCATCACCGTAGCGCCATTTTGGAGAATAAGCACTGAACGCAAGCAGCGTACGCTATTCTGTGTTAGCCGCGACACAAGGATATGTTTTCTACGTGTATTAATGCTTTGATTTGAACGAAAACAGCGCATCCGTGCAGCGCGGCTGACAGAATAGCGTATGCTGCTTGCGTTCAGTGGTTATTCTCCAAAATGGCGCTACGGTGATGTGGAGAGATACAGAGGAGAATAATTGTTGAATAAAGTCGTTATTTTTGTTTTCTTTGCGTACAAAAAGTATTCATAATATTCATAACATTACGGTTGAACCACTGATGGCAGAAATATCAATCTTTTGTAACATACAGTAATAATGTAATGTGTATTTGTGGAATAACAGTACAACAAAAGCATACAATAAAAGTATTAAAAATATTAATTTCTTACTCGGACTCACCCAGGGATTTTTTTTTGCTATTTTGGTGTCACCTATTTTGTGAGTGAGTGCATTTTATAGCTAATCATATCTTTCATATCTGTGTTTCGAGGCACATTTCAAGGTTGGATTCAGTTGTAATTACATCACAAGCAAGAGCACCCTTGGCAGAGCATACAGTCTCCGCTGTAACAAGCTGTTTAAATCGGTAATGTGAAAGCTTTTTATTGAAGGGCTAAATCTCTGTTACAGTATTGAACCCTGGATATTTGGCTACTTTATTCTGACCGAGAAATCAATTTCTTTCCTTAGAGAAATTTAGAGGTGATTAATTGCTTTAGTTGCTTGGCACAGAGGTCACTTTGTACTTTTTCTACTTTTCTGAGAGATATGAGATTAATAATGCTTTTAAAAAAGTAATAATGGGACACCAAAGTGTACCATATTCATGGTATTAACCATAAACTGATCATAATATGCACATATAAATTAGAAACCATTTGCATCTTGCAGTATTTAGTTTCAGTTACACACTTCTAACAGATGATGCATGCCAACAGGTGTTGCATTATGGTCATTAGAGCTTTCAGTCTTTACTCTCAATCTGTAAGTTAGTTTTGAATAAATGTCATGATCAGATCATCCTTACTCTGTGGTTACCACCAGTGGAAACAATCAGCTCCAACTATCTATTGAACTGCACCTGTCTCACACTCAAACATGCACTCACCCAAATGCCACCTGCTCTAGTGTTACTGCGTCACACTCTGATGTCAGATGTGTGAAATCCTCTCTTGCTGTGATGGATGAATGTCACTCAGAGAACTTTCTGAGATGCCTCAGAGACAGAATGATTTATGTTTAATTAAAACTCTTTCTGTGCCATATTATCAGAAGTGTTCAAAGTTTTGCAGCATTCAAATATATGTCTAAATGACTCCTTTATTATAGGTTGGTGATTTACTAGCAGATAAATGCACTGGAATTGCCTTAAACCAGCCCTAGACCAGAGGATGTGTATTGAGGCCTGTGTCAGAGTCATCTTTAGAATTTGAGGCTCAGTTTTAGGCAAGATTCAATCTGTGTGTGTAAAAGAGAAAACAAGAGTAAGATAGCATAGTATAGTGCTTTTAAAATGTCTATATGTCAGTTTGAAGTCCATCAAATGATGATGGGATTGTGGGCAGGAGCGACTCTCAGCAGGTGATATTGTGATGCTATTAGAATAAAGTGTTTTATCCCCACTCACAGTCCTTTAGCTGGTTGGTTTGATTTATTTGTGTTATAATGTGCTCTGTACTTTCTCACATTAGACAGTCATGATTTGCTCACCAGTGCATTTACTTGATCAAAAATACAGTAAAACTGTAGTATTGTGAAATATTAGAATTTAAAACAACTGTTTTCTATTTTAATATATGTTAATTTATTCCTGTGATGACAAACCTGAATTTTCAGGAGCCATTACTCCAGTCTTCAGTGTCACATGATCATTCAGAAATCATTCTAATATGATTTTGTGCTCAAGAAACGTGATATCATGATAAACACTGAAAACACTTGTGCTGCTCAATAACTTTGTGGTATATACATGATATTTTTTCCAGTATGTTTTGATCATGAAAGTTCAAAAGAATATCATTTATTTGAAATATCAATCTTTTGTAACATACAGTAATAATGTAATGTGTATTTGTGGAATAACAGTACAACAAAAGCATACAATAAAAGTATTAAAAATATTAATTTCTTACTCGGACTCACCCAGGGATTTTTTTTTGCTATTTTGGTGTCACCTATTTTGTGAGTGAGTGCATTTTATAGCTAATCATATCTTTCATATCTGTGTTTCGAGGCACATTTCAAGGTTGGATTCAGTTGTAATTACATCACAAGCAAGAGCACCCTTGGCAGAGCATACAGTCTCCGCTGTAACAAGCTGTTTAAATCGGTAATGTGAAAGCTTTTTATTGAAGGGCTAAATCTCTGTTACAGTATTGAACCCTGGATATTTGGCTACTTTATTCTGACCGAGAAATCAATTTCTTTCCTTAGAGAAATTTAGAGGTGATTAATTGCTTTAGTTGCTTGGCACAGAGGTCACAAAAAAACGGGGAAAAAAATCCTGTCATACAATGTGTTTCTTTTGTTCAGGGTGCAAAACAGTCATCAGGTTTCATTGATATGCAGTGTGTTTGTCACAGCTGAGGCGCTTTGATTGTTAACATCTACTCACAGCTGAGCCATTGCCTTGAGGTCCATCATTTATTCATCATTATTAAGCTAGCTGTTTGTTTTCCTAATTAATTTAGATGATTTCTAGCATACAGGCCTGACAGACTAAATGGGAATGAAAGAAATCTAGTAATCAGGGAGAAAGATGTGAAACAGAACAGCTACACCTTCTAAAGATTAAACCTCTCAGAGCAAACAAGATGTCATTATATTCCAGTTGCTCAGAAATGACAAAGAGCAAATGGGTGGGCTTCTTGGACCCTGCTATTCTTCGGCTCTCTCAATTATCTCTGCCTACAGTAGAGAGCATTATGGGCTGCAGGGCTCATGTTACCATATATACTGATGGCTGCTCAGGCCAGCTAATACAGTTAGCAAGGAGGAAAAGCCATCTGGGCTTTTATTAATCACAGGATCCAAATGAGATTGAAACATGGCAAAATATCACTTTCCTAAACAGTATTTTCATCTTGTTTTCCAATAGAAATATCAACATTCACTTTATTTATTAAAATGAATAATTTGACCTATATGTAGGCTAGTCTAAGAATTTAGTAAGTTAAAGGGATAGTCAACTCAAATATGAAAATTCTGTCATAATTTACTCGCCTTATTTTTTTCTGCTGAAAACAAAAGATGTTTTGAAGAATGTTGGTAACCAAATAGTTTTGGATCACACTGACTGCCATTGTATTTTTTGTCCATACAATGAAAGTCAATGGCAACCAAAATGATTTAGTTAACAACATTTTTCAAAATATCTGTTTTTGTGTTGCAGATACAGATTTGGAACGACATGAGGATGAGTAAATGATGATAGAACTTTCATGTTCAGGTGGACTGTCCCTTTAAGCTGTTCTATAGCAGTTGACATTTGCTGGAGGTGTCTCGATTGTTTTTGTTGGTTTGGTGAGTGTTTGCATGTGATGTGTAAGCCCTACCTCATAATTACAGCATTACATTCTCACCGTCATGGTAATTAATCACTCACCGGGTAATTGGCCTAGGGCAGACACTGTCTAAGTG